GACATGGCAAAAGCAGTTTTCAAAGGAAAATTTATAGCATTACAGGTATACCTCAGGAAATAATAAAGTTAACTCCTAATTTCTGTTTCTGATATTTCACTGTTGGTGTACAAAAATGCCTTCAATTTCTGAGTGTTGACTTTGTATCCCATCATTTTACCAAATTCATTTATTAGGTCGAGTAGTTTTTTGGTGGAGTCTAAAGGGTTTTCATGTCATATGCAAACAGTGACATCTTTACTTCTTCCTTTCCAAATTGGATGCCTTTTATTTCTTTTTCTAATCTGATGCTGTGGCTAGAACTTCCAATGATCAACATCACTAGTCATTAGAGAGATACCAATTAAACTATAAAGAGATAACACTTCACACCAGTCAGAATGGCCATCATTAATAAATCAATGAACAACAAGTGCTGATGAGGTTGTGGAAAAAAGGGAATCCCTATACACTGCTGGTGGGAATGCAGACTGGTGCAGCCACTGTGGACAACAGTATGGAATTTCCTCAGCAAACTAAAAATGGAGCTGTCTTTTGATCCAGCAGTTCCACTGCTGGGATTATACCCTAAGAATCCTAAATGACCAATTCACCCCAATGTTCATAGCAGCATTATTTACAATTGCCAAGTGCTAGAAACAGCCTAAATGCCCATCAAAAGTGACTGGATCAATTGTAGTACATTTACAGAATGGAATACTAGACAGTAGGAAAAAAGAAGGAACTCCTACCCTTCATGGCAGCATGGATGGAACTGGAGAGCATTATGCTAAGTGAAATAAGCCAGACAGTGAAAGACAAATACCATATGATCTCACCTATAAGTGCAACATAATCAGCAAAGCAAACAAATGAGCAAAATATAACTAGAGACTTGGAAATAAAGAACAAATGGACAATGACAAGAAGGTACGGGGGAGTGGGATAATGGGGAAAGCAGTGCAAGGGACAAGCAAAAGAACATGAATAGAGGACTCAAGGGCATGGACAATGGGGTGTGTTGACTATGGGAATTGGGGGTGGGATTGGTTGAGCAAGGGGGAAAAGGTGGGACAACTGTAAGTGAAAACAATAATAAAATAACTGAACTAAACAATCTCACTTTACTGTTAAACAAACTGGAAAAATCAACAAAATCCAAAGTGAGAAGAAAGAAAAAATAAAGATCAGAGCAGAAATAAATGAAGCAGAGTCTAAAAAGACGTTACATGGAACAGACTGACAGAGGGGAGGGATGAGAAGAAACTGAATAAAAGACATTAAAGGGATTAGCCAATGAATATATATGCATAACCCGTAGACACAGACAACAGTGTGGTGATGGCCAGAGAAAGGGGGTGTGGGAGTTGAGTGATGGTGGGCAAAGGAGTGGAAAAGAAGAACATCTGTAATAGTATCAAAAATAAAAATAAAGTAAAAACATTATTATTTTTATGTGATATGTTGCAAACCAATAATGATAATTATGGTTTAATTACTGTTTACAAATTGAGCACAATAACTGAACAACCAGATTGCCCTGAAACATTTGAAAGACAAAAGGACACTGAAAATAAATGGTGCTAATAGAGACACAAAATTATAACTATACTAAATACCAACAAATTTTGCACTTAAAAGTGTTACAATGGCAAATTTCATTGTGTGCATTTTATCACAATAAAAATAAATATATTAAAAAGAATTACCTCCTATTTGCTATAATGTTTTTGATATTTGCAACAAAATATAGAGTGAAGGATTCAAGATAAATCAACACTTGGAGTATGATATGCATGATTGGGAGATTCAGAAAAGTCTAAACTCCAATCCCTATGGATAGATTCAGTGTAATAGGAAAAACTGAAGTAAGTGGATAATGGAAATGACCATAAATTCAGGAAATGTCACTTCTAAGTTCAAGGGAGAATTTTATAGCCAGGACTGTGGACACAGGGGCTTCTGGATGCTGGCAACGAACTGTTTCCTGACTTGCGTGGTTACCCAGTTTTGAGCTTGATTATGTTTTGTTAATCCATTGTACATGATATGAACTTTCTCATGCTTTCTAAATAAACTAGCTTATAAATTGCCATTTTTGGTTTTGGTCCATGGTAATGTTGGCTTTAAACGTAATTGTCCTATCTTTAATATAAACACCATTTGTATAAAAATATAATGACCCTATTTTTTTGTTAAATGGCAATTTGCCATTATTAAATCCACTTATTAAAATAGCATTATATGTGTTTTCAAAGAATAAAATAGTCATGTCTATTTTAAAATGCAACACCAGGTTTTTAAGAGTATTGAGTTTGTCCTAATAGAAAATTAAATGATCATGTCTTCTTAGTAATTGTAAAGACATAGCTCTTTGAAAAATGTTACATGTTTTGAAGTGTGTAATGACGTTTGCCTTTCAAAATATACAGATTATGTCCCATATTGTCAATGACGCTGAATTTAATAAATGTGTTCATTCCTGAAGAAGTGTAAAAATCTTGTAATGATGTCAATGACAGGAATAAGACTACACATGCCAACATGAATGTATGTCAAAGACACAATAGTAAGTAAAAAGAAGAAACACTGTTCCATTTGTCTAGTCCATGTAGCATGTGTAGGGAAGAACAGAAGATGACAGAAGAGTCAAACTGAGCCTCATGTTTCATTAATTGACAACCTCAGTAGGAAGATTTTTTTTCCTTCTGAAAAGCAGTTTGAGAACAGATTGGGTCTCGCATGGGCAATCTGAGATAGAGTGAAGAGAACCACAAAAATCCAAGAGGACAGTTTCTTCAAAAGCACCCCAATATGTCTATTCTCCAGGGATCTTCATGCAAAATTTTGGGTATTCAGTACCTTCTAAAAAATCAATCAATTATTTCATGATTTAAGTGCGTTGTTGTCATGTCCTTTATCATGTCAGAGATGCAGCATGTTTAAGTGTGGGGTCTCTTGTGAAAGCAATAAATGTCAGAAATGAGGCCCATTATTAGCATGATTCCTACACATTGACAAGCCTGGAATCATACACATTTTACAGACAGGGAAACTGAAGGGAATGTACTCACTTCTAACATGCAAATATTAACACCTAGGTAATTGCCTTTTTGAAGAATAAGCAGACATTGTGCACAGGTTTATAGTGTCTGTAGAAACAGAAAGGTGATCCTGAGAGTCACTGGCCTTATGGAGCTGATGTTCTTGTAATGAAAGAGAGGAGATCAAGAAATAAACAAATATCATATGATCTCACCTATAAGTGGAACATAATCAACAGAACAAACAAGCAGAAAAATATAACTAGAGACATCGAAATAAAGAGAAACATGTCACCAGAGGCAAGGGACAAGGGCATACCTGGGGGATAAAGAGGAAGGATAGTCAAGGAACATGTATAAAGGACCCATAGACAAAGCCAAAGGGGGGCAGGGTCAATGGTGGGAGGTTGGGGTGGGAGGGGCGGAGGGAGTCATGGGAGGAAAGTGGACACAACTGTACTTGAACAACAATAAATAAAAGGTAACATTTAAACACAAACATATGGGTAATTAGAGTGATTTTAAATAAAGTGAGCCACCAATTAAAAGAAAATAAAAGAGAAGTAAAACTCTTCATAACACTTCACAGGATGTTTTTTACATCATGGTTTTACAGGTCCTTACTGAAGTTAGGCTCCTACCTCCCACAGAGACTGAGACAGAGACTCGGGAGATTAAATTTTAAAAGAAGGGCACAGGCCTTTGTGACAGATACTCTCGGAATCATAACACTAGCAAGAAAATTTTAAGGAGACTCATGTGTATTTCAAATGAAAAAAATCTGCAATTACAAATTGCAATTACATTTCTAAAGAAAATGATCTAAAATAGGAAGAACCTGTATGGAGATTAATGACTATGAGGGAACATGAAGGCCTCTAGGTCGTAACAAAACTTTCTGCACAGTGGAAGGAAACACAACCGAATCTCTTGCACCCAAGACACAGTTTGCATCTACATAAGTCCCTGTAATTTATAGAGGTACAAAATGACTGAGGCTCCCTGAACAAAGCCAGGATCTGGTCTCCCAGAAGGTTGTGTTTGAAGTTATCCTTTCAGGCATGATATCTATCTCTCCAGCCACTTTCCCTTTCATCAAAACTAATCACTAGGAAGGAGTGTGTTCTTGACCCTACAACATGGCTGGCATTACCTGATTTATGCTGATTAGTTATCTAAGTGCAGAGGAACTGACATTCACCACATAGTTGGCTCTGATGAAGATTTTCCTATAAAATATATGATGGGAGTTTTAACAGCTTCTTGAAGTTAGGAAGCTTTACTTAAACACTTCACCTCAAGTTTCACTAGCTTTGGATGATGTCTCTTCAACAGGTACTAAAAAGCCAAAGACATCAAATTTAGTTCTATAAACTGTGAGGTCATTTCTAACTCCATGGGTATCAGCCTGAACTAGGACTTTTAAATTAAAACCTTGGTTTTATTACCAAAGTTTCCAAGTATATCTTACTAACAAAAAGAACAGAAATGTACTGAACAAATAATTTTATTGACCCATAAATAAGAATATTCAAGAGATTTTAGAAATCTTCAAAAGACATCAAAGTGAAAGACAAAGACCAGTGTTACTACTCACACGGGAGCCCTCTTGTCCACTCCCATTGTCTACAACAGTGTCCAGGTGAGTCCACGTGTTTGCATGGACAAGACAGAGAACTCAGATTCTCTAAGCTTTTTACCTGCCCCCTTTGGTTATCACAGGACCACTGTTCACTCTCTGAGGGACAGTGTCACCTCAACAGTGGGCATGGTACACATGAGACCATACCAAAGTGGGGGTTGGTCTGAAACATGACCTCAAGTCAACAATAATGACAATGTCCACTCATACTTTTTAGTGTTTATAGACTCAACGCAAATCTTTTAAGAACCACTCACCCTCAGAACAAATCTATTATAATGATGCAAAAAAATACTTTTATTTAGAGTTTAACAACATAGATGAGGAAAGGAGCATCATCCGTATTTCACATTTAACTCAAGGGGAGTACTTTCAGCAGAACTAATGGGGTTCGAGACTTTACACTGGTAATTCCCAGCATCTTCCCTCTGTACGGGGTCTATGGGGAGGCTTCTCTGGTTCCGGGACAGCTTAATTCTCTCCATGAGCTGCAAATACGTGCCATTGATCAACCACTGGGTGGAGATTGCATCTGTGTAGCAGGTCAGGACTATGGCATCCTTATTCTCGGTGACTGTGGTGTTGCTGGCTACAAGGGTGGGCACTTCCACAGGCCCTGTGGAGAAACAGAGAATGTGACTGGTTGATGGAGCCATGTTGCTTCCTCAGAGATCTCAGCCACTCACAGCCCACAGTGAGCTATGTAACAGTCACTGGACTATGTTCCCAACATTTGCAGACAGACAATTGTCTAAGTTCCAGTAACAATAAGAAAAGAACTGCAATCCCCTCTGACCCCATATAACCTCAGAGTGATTCTTTAGCTGTTTCCTCAGACATCTCTGTAACAGCACCACACAAAACCCCTTCCCAGCCCATATGTTCATCATCAGGTACAATTTTTTTTTCTCATGAGCCTTTATTGATCTTCTCCTAGAACTTTTTTTGACTTCAGAAAACATCCCACTCCTTATTCAAACTTTTATTTATGTTGGAGAAGGCAGGCTTACCACATTTGTCCATCTCTGGGGCCAAGAGAACTTTACAGTAAGTGGAAAAATACTTACATTTTGTTAAATATTTTATTAGTCAATAACAATGGCCCAATACAATTTTTCTAATTGTAGACCTGGAGGATTTTCATCTAAAAGACTTGTCGGTCTGAACATGATTTTATTTCATGGCCCACTGATTCAATATCATGGTGAAATTATTCTCTAGAGGGAGATGGTTATGGCTTTGATAAAGGAGATTGAAGAATAGAAGAAAACTATTCCCAGTAAGAAAGGCCATACATAAAAGTCCAGAGTTAAAACAATATTTCTTGGAGAAACTTAAAAATCTTTACTAATATAATGAACAAGAAAAGAATGTTGGTTTTCCACATATTCAAGATAGTACTGGAAGTTTTGACCACAATATTTATGCAAGAAGATGTAACAAGTGTATCCTAATTGGTAAATATGAAAAAAATTTTCCTTTTCGAAAAGACAACATAATCTTATATGTAGAAAACTGTAAAAGTTCACACAAACAAACACACACACACTTATAACATAAATAAGGCAAAGTTGCAGGAGATAAAATCAACATTTAGCATCACTTTCTTTTTTGTAACAAAAATGAAAAATTTCAAAGTGAATTTAAGAAAAAAATTCCTTTTAAAATAGTAGCAAAAGACTAGAATACATAGGAATAAATTTAATTGGTGAGGTAGAAAGTGGCCCTAGCTCATGTGACTCAGTGGATGGAGTGCCGACCAGCGAACCAAAGGGTCATCGGTTCGATTCCCAGTGTAGGGCACATGTCTGGGTTGTGGGCCAGGTCCCCAGCAGGGGGCATGCGAAATGCAACCACACATTGATATTTCTTTCCCTCTCTTTCTCCCTCTCTTACCCTCTCTAAAATAAATAAATAAAAGAGAAGAAATTTATAAAGAAAAGAAAATGTATACACTGAAAACTACCAAATATTTTTTAAATAAATTAAAATAGACACATATCAATGGAAAAACACACATGTTCACTTATAGGAAGACTCTAAACTATCTACATATTTGATACAATCACTATAAAATCCCAAGGTCTTTCTGACAGAAATGGAAAAATCCATTCTACATTTCATAAAGGAATTTCAAAGAACCCAAAATCAATGAAATGATTTTTAAAAATGAAAAATTGGAGGCCTCGCATTTCCTAATTTCAGAACTTACTGCAGAGCTAAAGTCACCACAATAGAACAACACTGGCAGGGAAACTGCTGTTCAACAAAAGACACAATCAAATGGTGTCAGTGAAAAGGCCAAGACTGTGCAATGGAGAAAAGACAGCCTTTTCAACAAATGGTGTTGAGCAGCAATATCCACTTGCAAACAAATGACATGGATCATTGTCCTATACTATACATAAACTTTAAGTCAAAAATAGATCAAATTTGAAAGGTTAGACCTAAAACTTTAAAATGTTTAGAAAAACTATAGGGAGAAGCATCATGACATTGATTTGGCAATGATTTTAAGAATATGACACTAAGAATACAGACAAAAAAATAAACAATTTGGATTTTGTCAAAATGAAAAATTTCTCTTCATCAAAAAAAACACGCAACAGATTGAAAGGTGACCTATGACATGGTAGAAAATATTTTGCAAATCATATGGACAATAAAAGCTTAATATCTAGAATATACAAAACACATCTATAACTCAACAACAACCACAAAAACAAATATTCTGATTTAAAAATGGACAAAACACTTAGACATCTCTACACAAAATATATACTAATGGCCAATAGCCACAAAAAATGTTCAACACCATTATTATTTTTTTAAAAAAATGGAATACTACGCAGCAGAAAGGAAAAAAGAACTACTAAACTTCGTGACAGCATGGATGGAACTGGAGAGCATTATGCTAAGTGAAATAAGCCAGGGGGCGAAAGACAAATACCATATGATCTCACCTATAAGCAGAACCTAACCAACAATGCAAAGATGCAAGGAAAGCATGACCAGCAACACTGAAAGGAAAAGAAATCAACAGAGACAAGAGGGAAGGAGGGAGGAGCGAGCAGGGAAAGGGAAGGGAAGGGGAAAGTCAAGGAACATATAGCAAGAACTCATGGACAAAACCAAAGGGGAAGAGCTGAGGGAGGGAAGGAGGGAGGGGGCAAGGGAAAGTGGTGGGGGGGAGGCAGAGACAAATGTATTTAAAAATAAAGAAAGAAAGAAAGAAAAAAAAGAAAAAAATTAACTGTAAAAAAAAAATCTTTTGTGCATAAAATTGTGATCACATTCCTAATTATTTCCTTAGAAGCTGTTCCTAAAAATAAAGTTACTGTTTCAAAGAGCCCTAGTGTTTTAAGACTCTTGATCTATAAGGTCAAATTGTTTTCTAGAAAATTCAGTCAGACCTACATTTCTCTCTACATTCTCAGCAGCATAAAATATCCACTTAAGTTAATGTTAACATCTTTGATAAATAATACTAATAAAACTATATATTTTTCATAAAAAAAGAAAAAAAATGAAAATCAAAACTCTCAAGTTTAAATTTGTTGCTTGTTATCTTGGAAGTGGTTAAGTTTGCTCTGCAGATAAGAGGAAAAAAAATTGCCCTGTGTGGTACCTTTGATTCCTCCAAAAGCTTCTTCAATCAGACTTGGGACCTCTCACCTCTCTATCAAATTGAATCTTTGAAATAACAGGGCATTTCTGTGTATCACAAGAAAATGTTTCGTAATCTGAATGCGCAAAGAAATATGGCCTCTAACTCTATGTCTGGGAGAAACTACAGATTTTCTCTGGTAACAGTTAATTATCAGTGTTGGTTATGGAAAGGCCTATGACTGGGAGTCAGAGACCCCCCTGCACTTCTCCTGGTTCTTTACTGACCATCAGGCTGCCTGCTGGATGAGGAGCCTTTCCTTCCATCTGCACAGACTTCTATCACCCAGCTGAGCTGTGTTTCTAAGAGGCACCATTTTCCAGGGCATCCTAGAGACTGACATTTCACAGAAATAACACATAAAGACCAGAATCAAGCCAGCAGTAAGTTGATGACTCAGGCCTCTGGCTCAAGAGGTGTGTCTGGTCTTTCCAGGTGAGTGGGACTGAAATGAGCCTGTGAGCCAAGGAATGATAGATCAGAGTCCAAGAAATGATTTAGGAAAGAGGGAAAAGGACAGGAACAAGATGATTATGGCAGCAGAGTCCTGTGTTCTGCCCTTGATCATTAAAGTCATTCTCTTTTAGCTGAGGACAGGTGAGTCCTTGTGCAAATGTAAACTGTGTGAGTTACAGTAAGTGGGGAGCATGGGCTTGCTGAAATTCTGGCCCTTGGGGTCAATTTGTGTCAGGTGACTATGAGAAAGAAATCTGGAAAACCTTAAAATTCTTCTGTATGTGGAAATTATTATTAATACCCAGGGCCTAAAGCCAATTGCAAGAAGGACTATTTTATTAGAAAAAAGAAAAGGATCCAAGGTGTGGCTCTTAGTTCCTGGAGGCACAGAGAGCCAGTCCCTTATGGTGAGGATTCCAAGGAATCTGCATCCAGGTTCCAGACTCTGATGAGATTTTGGCTTATTCATTCATTCATTCATTCATTCATTCATTCATTCATTCAATCAATCACCATTTATTTCTTCTAATTCATCAACAGCAACTGAGTGTTTGTTCCATGTTGATCCCTGAGCTGCTTTCAGGGGTAGAGTGGGGAGTGAGAAGGCAAAATCTTTTCCTTTATATCTGCTGGGAGAGACTGCACCTCACCAGGAAACAAATAAGTGATGTCAAGTCCAGTGCAGGGAGGAACAGATAGGCCACTTAAGGGGGATGCCTGGGTATTCCATTCAGTGACTCCAATTGTTATTAGAGGTAATCTTTTTCCGGAGTAAAAATAAATTATGTCTCCACTTTCCCTTCACAAACCGAAATGTATTCCTATGACTGAGGACATCTCAGAGAAAAGGATCTGAACCAGTTTGTTGCCTTAGGAATCCAAAGACCCCCTCATATGGCCCCTGAGGTAGAGAAATTAAGTCTATGGCTACAGACAGAACTCAAGTGACTCTGACCAGCTGCTCATGGTCTGTGTGACTCTGCTTTTGTGACCATATCTCTCTGTTTCTCACTTTACTCTCAATGAATATTTGGCTACCCTGCTGTCAGTGTACAAACTACAATATCCACAGTGTCTGACCTGAACCTGAGATAGAAGAGCTACTCAAATAAGAGGTATCTCTTATTGATTGACTCCAAGAGAGAATCTCCTGGGCTGATCTCTGGTAAATAAGTAGGTTCCAGGAGCATCTTTTTTTCTTGGTTTCTTTCTGAGGATGCTGACCTTTTTCTGAACTTTTCTGAGTCCCCCAAGATAGTTGGCTATACTCAAGGACATTGTCTAAGTGTGCTGTCCCTACATACGCTCAGGAGGTAGTCCAAACTCCTTTTCTTCCAAGATGTGGCTCTTGGAATTGAGCCCTTCTAGTGACCAGCTCAAGAGCCTTGTGACTTGGGCATCCATTAAACTGTTACACACTCAGCCCTTCCCTGGAGGCCAAACCCAACCTGACACAGGATCACCAGGGTCCCTGGAGTCAAGATCCCTAGGACAGGGCTCAAGAGAGGGGTTTCTGAGATGAGCTCTGTAAGAAATTCAGGGGGCCTCTCAGATCATGCTCTGATGTAGTACAGCAAGGTCATCCTCAAGGTCAAGTTCATAGGCATGTGCTCAGGAGGCTGAACTTCATCTGGTCTCCCTCTGTTGAGTTACTCCCATCAAACTGATCCTCCTGTCCACATTGACTGCTGGCAGGGCTGAAACTTGAGAGGGGAACTAAGATCTTAGGAAGTTTGTCTACACTCCATGTATCCTATATCACATGCCAAAATCCAACCTGAAACAAAATGCAGAGGGGAATGGAGGCAGAGTCCAGGGTTATCAGTCCTGTGTGTGAAGTAGAATTCACCCCACCCAACACCCAAAGGTCAGAGAGCCATCACTCACGGTATACATTGAGTTGTCCGCATCCTATTGTTTTTTTGCAACCTTCTAGTCGGACGAGTATGGTGTAGATTCCTGCATCTTTCATGGTGACATTCCTTAACAGCAAGGAGCCGTCATAGTTTATTGTCACTGGTCCATCTGGAGGACCTCTTATGTGGGTCTTTGAGTTCTGTATAAGAAATGTAATTATACGATTTTTGTTGATGCCTTTCCCCCTATACCACATGAGGCCTGCAGCATTGGGAGGCTTCTTGTGGATACGTAGAATCACATCCTTCCCTTCAGCAGCATTGGTAGACACAATAGCAAGCTTGGCTGTCGCGGGCAGGCTCCAGAAGGTTAAGAGTGATACTAGAAAATAAAAAAAAAAAACAATGTTGTATGTATGCACTGTGATGGAAAGACGAGGCCCTGAATCCTGAGCAGGTCTCTTTGTCTCTCAGCCTTGGTCTGCAGGTGAGTGTGTCTCTCTCAGGTCAAGGTCAGAGGCATGGTTCCCATTACTTCAACACTTCTGAAGCTTTTATCTTTTCTCTTTCAAATATTCTTCTCCAGGTATTTGTTTTGCTCACGCCCTCACTGTGCTCAGACACTGACACTGAGGAGCATTTTTGAAAGGCACCCTTGCTGATCACCTTCTCTAAAGATTCTCTATCTTCATTTTCTGACCTGACCCTGCTCAGTATTTTTCATGGCTCTAGTGGGTAACTGATATCACATCTAGAACTTTTTTGTCCCTCTCTCCTTCATAGAACATGGGCTTGATGAAAGCAGGGCTTGTCTGATCTTGTACTGCCAGTGAGGACAACAGCCTGAAAATACATGGGGTTGAATGAGAGTGATCCCAGGGTCCTGTACCCCATGGGGTTTATTTGCCCATTTCTCAGGTTGGTGGTAAAGACAATGTCTAGCACCCCTGGTTAATTTTTTCTAGTGTTTCCCGATATAAGTCAATATTATCATTATCAGTTTCCATAATTCAACCCTCAATGATGAATAACATGACATGAACAGCAATTGAGGGTTTTCCTGCCTCTCACCAGTTCCAGATTATGAGATTTCCCTCTTGCTGAGCCCCCTTCTTCATCCTACTCTGTCTGCTCCTTTGTCCTCCATCCTCAGATCCAAAAAGAAGCCTTCCCTCTGTCCTCAACACACTGGCTTCTTCGGCAGATCCCAGCCAGTCTCTGTGGCAGATCCTTAGTCTACCCAAGGAACTGCCTCCTACTTACCAACCAGCAGGAGCCCTTGCCAGTGGACAAGTCCTCTGTGGGGAGAGACTGAAAGGGATCCCATGGTGTCTGCTGCCTGCTCTGTGGCTCCCTCTATAAGAAAAGCTTGAGGATCTGTGAGGCTCACAGACACCTGAGTCCAGACTGGTGGGATCTGCTGTGTGTCCTACCTGTGCGCTCAGCTTTATGCTGGGGCATGTTTACTATTCTTGTCATGTGGGCTGGGGGCAGGGTCTGGGCATGGTACCCTCCCACTCCCTGCTTTCATTTTTGCCACCTGTGTCCTTTCTTACCACTGCTCCCTATACTTTCGTTCCTTGCAGACTCCTGAAGACTTTCAATACCACACACAGAAACACCCACTCCCATGTTGTGTTAGGAAAAGCACAGGCCTGGGGTGTCCGGGTTTCAGGCATTCCCCAGAGCTTCCAGAAATGTGCCTTGTAGCCTCTTCCTCACCTCTGTCTCTCTTTCACATTCGACTCTTCCCTTCAGAGCAGGAGTTCTTGAGCTAACTCAGAAAAAACTGTCAAAATGGTGTCACCTCTGCTGTGCATCAGATCACTTGTGGAACTTTTTAAACATTTCTGTTTCCGAGTGAAACCTTAAAAAGGCAGCTTCAGCAGTTGTCCCTCTATTGGATGTCCATTCAAATTGCAATTTCTGGGTGTGAAGGTAGAGCCACTTCTCTTACTTTTTTGTGCACAGGGGAAGTCTCCAAATCCTGCCAAACTGCCATTTCTGACTGGGGTGCAGTGGGCCAGAGACTCTGCACCTTACAAGCTCTCAGGAGAGGTTGATCTTTCTGGCCTGTGGAGCTCACTTGCAATAGCACGGCTGATGGGGCCCCATGTGCCCCTGAGAGGATGACCCACTCATGCCAGCGTTGACCTCTGCTGTGAGTTGGTCTTAGGACTGTCAGCACCGCACAGAGATTCCCAGGGGTCCTAAAAACTCTGGATCATTTCTGTTTGTGACACAGAAATGCAGCCAGGCACCAGGTCCTCCCCATGTTCTCAGATGCTCTGAGGAAGTTTCATTTCCTCCCAGAAGGAAGGTCACAGAGATGAATCTGGGAGTCAGAAGGGATCAAGCTTGGCGATAATTCCTGAGGGGACCCATCTTCTCTCTCAGGTTGTCACCAGATTGGCTTTTGCTTCCAGGAACGAAAACACAATACCGGGAGTCTCAATAGGACCTGTTGTTTTGGGGTGTGAAGTGGGGAGTGTCCTGCATATCCCAGGGAGAAAGGACTGTGGTGAAAGGTCAGGTGCCTGTGGGCTTCCTGGTTCTCAGGGGACAGCTTCATAGAGATTATCCCTGTCCATGTCTGTTTGTTGGACCTTGTGCTGCTTGGCTGAGGGGACAACCTCTGTTTTCTGCCTGGGCAGCTTTCTTGTGGTCACCTCACCTTGCCCATGGATGGTGCCAGGCATGGGGTAGAGAGAAGCAAGGACACCCCTGAGAAAGGAGATGCTCCCAGGCCCTGACAAAGTTAAAAAAAAAAATGTCCAAATCTATGGAGCATTTTAATAAGTTTACCTGGGCCAAATTAACCTCACATGCCTGGGAGCAAGGTCTCAAATCCTGTGAAGAAAGGCAGTTTTGCAGCTTATTTTATGCATTTTAATTAAAGTAGAAGGTCTACAGGGTTGCATAAAATCCATTAGGAGGCGAGAGAAAACATAGCAGGGAAATCTCTAGAATTTAGAAAAAGGAAAAATCAAGAAAATTATATTTTTTACATTGGTGGGTAGAGGATAGTTAACATTCACAGGACACAGAAGGTGTGCAGGAGACCAGATAACATAGAATTCTGTGGTCTCATACATTTATTGCCCCAGATTCTGTGCCTTTGAATGGTCCAGCAAGGAAAGTTATTCTGATATGTCAAACTTATACTATCCAAGATGCAAAACAAGATTAATCAGGAACAATCAAGTACAATATGACCTTTGCTAATGAAAATAGAGGCCTGAGATGTGACAACCTGCCATCACCTGCCCAGTTAGAAATTCCTGATCAGAATGTCCTGTGAGGCTTGTCAGTCCTGCCACGTGGCCCACTGAGCTTGTCAGGGGTATTGCACAGCTTTCTGTTACCAGTCTCTAGAAGTAACAGGTGGGACACAGCATCATGATGGAGGACCCACGAAAGCTTGTTGAAGCAGAGGATGAAAACCAGGCTCCTTCTCCATCTTCTTAGCCAAAACCAGGTCCTCCGTGTCTTTTTCCTGCATGATTCCATATTGTCCCCACCAGGAAAGTAGTAGGTCTGCAGCCAATGTCAGGTGCTGCAGAGGGAGGCTGCCCAGTGCAGGGTGAGCCCTGTGAGAGGACAGGCGCTGTCCAGAGCACTGTGAGTCCAGTGGCAGGGGAGCTCTCCCACCAGGAGGGTGTGCTGTCTCAGACAGAGCCCTCTGCCTCCAAGTGTCTGAAGGAAAGGCCTGGTGAAGTTTCTCCTGAGGCTTTTGGGAGAGGGTGCTGGCCTGGAGGGTTGATCCCCAAAATGTCCTATGTGTCCTCCATCACTAAATCAGGGTGTTGCATATAAAACATTTCTGTGTCCCTGTTTTCTCACAGGGCTCAGTAGCTGGAGCAACTCCACATGAAGACTCAACCAGGAGCACTGTGTGTTTTTTTTGTTAGAAGAAGAGAGGTTCTTGTAGAAAGCTCAGCCCCTCTGAATGGAAGAAACCATAGATTCTGGATTCTCCTCTTTAATTCTGAACTGGAAGTTTCCCTTGTTCCCGAGGACATTATACACTAGACCAACATCTTCAGAAACAACAGGCAGGTGTCCCACAGAACAGGGATTCTGGGAATGAAAAGTCATCCTTGATTCTTGCAAGGTCAGGCTGTGCCCTTTCCTCCCCTGGCAGCAACTGCTCCAGGGGTGGAGGATGTTTCGGTCAGGGCAGGCACCTGTGAGAACAGGAGGAACACAGGCTTGGGAAGGGGAGACATGACTCACAGGGCGGGGCTGTGGAGGGCAGTGATTGTGGGGGAATAAAGTACAATCCAACCTCTCACTATTAGGAGGATTCTTTCCTTCCTTCTGAATGTATGAGAAGTAAAAATCTGACCCTAGGATGTCCCCAAGCATGTGGTGGCTTCCTCTCTTGCTGATACCAATGACTTTGTGTCTATGAGAAACATAATTTGACTGCAAGTGTCACCCAGGGTGACAGGCTCCCATTGTGTGGCTTCCCTTATTGACTTATGAGTGTTTAAGGTACATCTGTGATTTTCCAGGCTCTTGGCTCAGACCTGGAAGGACAAAGTGAATAAGGCATATGTGGGCTCTGTGCTTATTGTGTTTGCTTGTAACAGAGGCAGGGTCTCAGATAGATCATGGCTCTAATATTTTAATTATAATCTAGTGAATGGCCATGAAGGGGAAGTCCTGGTGCATCCACAGCATGTCCTTGAGTCTCAGCTGGTCTGGGGATCACAGAGAGCACTTCTAAGAAGGTGCTCTCTTGGCTGAAACCTGAAGAGTTACTGGCCATTTTCTGCTTGAAGAACAGAGGGAGCTTAAAAAAAAAGTTACCTACAGAGGACTGACCTTTGGTGGACTGCCTTTGGTGGGCTGACGATTGGCTGGTTGGAGGAGCAGATGCAGTCCAACTGCGGAGCTTTGAGAGTTAGAAAGACTGTGTAATGATTGTTACTGGTGAAGTGGGGCCCTGCAGGGTTGTGGGTGCTGCTGAGATGGTCTCAGCAGTGCCCCAGAAAGACTCCATCCTGCAGAGTAATTCTGCCACCCCCTGGTAGACAAGCAGAAGATCAAGAAAATGTCATGTTATAGTTAGGTTTTCTTTTTTTTCTTTTTCTTTTTTTTTAGTTATGTACTTTCTATTCAACCTCTACTTCAGGCAATATTTCATATATCCATATATAATTTTATATACACTTATTGTATTACAGTTAAAAATAATAAGCTTAACATATTGAAAGTACATAATTTATGAAGTTTTTCTAGATGCATGCACCAGAGAAGTTGTATTATGAAAATAAAGAACATGCCCCTTACTATTAGAGTCTTCTCATGCCCTCTTGTAATATCATCATTCTTCACCTCTCCACCTCCTTTTTTAATGTTAAGAAAACTCTCAGAGACTTTTTTCACTTTAAATTCATTTGCATTTTCTGGAATTTTCAAAGTTTTTTCATAAAGTATATAATTTTTGGTTGAGATTAGCTTCACCCAATACAATTACTTTGATAACTTTTTCATTTTATACTCTAGTTATAGAAATAGTTATATTTCATTCCAGGTTTGCATTAATTTTGTTTATTGATTCACCTATTTATGGACATTTGTGTTGTTTCCAATTTGGGAATATTACAAGAAAACCTGCCATGAACATTTGTGCAAAACAGTCCTTAATGCAAAGAATCAGTGCTTGTAAAACCACTGAATAGTTACAGAAATGGAAAATAAGGAGTCACCACTGGTATTCTGGTTTCAAGGTGGCATGGCATCAGCCCCACCCAGAGGTAAAGAAACACCTGCTCCTTCACATGAAGCTGTGTCTGCCACAGTCCACCCACCAGTCAGCACAGAAGCAAAAACAATGGCCCCATCTCCCTTCACCTTCTAAATTATGAACCAGTGCACCTCAGCGGTGGCATTTGATTCACATCTGGGTTCTCAATCACTAGGAGTAGAAGAAGGGTAGTATTTAAACTTTCAGTCCCTCTGATACAAGAGGAAACCTAAACAAGAGAAGAAGAGAAGGAAGAAGAAGAAGGAGGAGGAGGAGGAGAAGGAGGAGGAGGAGGATGAAAGAGTCAAGTGCCAGAAGAAGAAGAAGAAGAAGAAGAAGAAGAAGAAGAAGAAGAAGAAGAAGAAGAAGAAGAAGGAGAAGGAGAAAGGAGTCAAGTGCTCACAAACAACACATGGCAGGTCTGAGTCCACCTTCAGGCTACGTGACTCTGGGCGAGTGACCCCACCTCAAGAAGCGTCAGTTCTCTCATGTGATATAAAAATATATCTAGTCATCTTTCTTGGACTTTAGAAAAGGGCAGGTAAAACTGTTGGAATTTTCTAAGTGACGTGGGTGCTAAGAATGGCTTTTGTTGTGAGGAGGCAACTCTTGGCAGGCTGTGAGATAGTTGAATAGTTAGGGAAGGTCACCAAAAGACCAAGGTCTGAGCAGAAGCTTGACATTTTCAGCTGTCAACAGAAGAAAT